TCTTTTGGCTCCCACTCTAAAGGCTACACCCTGTCAGAGCACAGGGATGGTAAATAGCAAAGGCTGATGGAAGCGTGGCAGCTGTGCTGGGGATCCCAGTGGCTGGCTTGTAGGCTCCTGGGAGCTGGGTGAAGGTGGGTTAAGCCCCACAGGTCAGTGTGGGTTTGATTTTGTATATCAGATGGGTGCAGGACTCGAAGGAACAGGCGAGTCAAAGGCTGTGCAGTGCAGAGACGGTCCCTTTCCATGGGCTGCTGACCCAACGTGTCCCCACAAGACCGCTGCACCACTTCCAGGGAGCGACCTTCTCCCAGCAGGTCTCTTCCATGCTATTGAGCTCATCATTTTTCCTCTCTTTCCCCCAGGGGTAGCAGACTTCATCTCCTCAGATACCAGGAGGGGCATTCCTACAAACCAGAAGATGAACAGATGCATCAGCCTCAGTAAAGCCAGGAAAAAAAAGCAGAGGGGGAAGTGAAGTGTTTCTTCCTGTGCAGGGAAATAGATAGCAGTACTGTTCACTTGGAGCTCACCAAAGCAGCTGATAGTGATTTCTGTCTCTTTGGATATATGATGGAAGCTTCTCCCATTTGGCTCACCTGATGCCTCATCACTTTGCAGCTCTGCGTGCCAAGTGCTTTGTTAAAGTCTAGTTCAGTATGTGGACGTATAAAGGTTTTACAGGTCTGTGCCAGATCTCATTCGCGTGCCTGCTGTGCTTCATTATGGAGTGCGTGTGGTGCTGTTATCCGAGGGAAAACACTGCTTCCCTTCTCATCCCGTTTCATAGCTGTGGCAGCTTTAGTTTAAATAGCTGGTGGCTGCCTAATGAACAAAAAGCTTCCTGGAAGCTCAGATGTTTGAACAAAACTGACTTTAATCGTCACCAGGTTGGGGAAGTGGTTTGTGCTGACCTTCCTGTAGTTTTTGACAAGACTGTGGTGGCCAGAGGGACATGGGTGGTGCTGGGCAAGTTTTGTGCTCCTCAACCTCCAGCTCCCATGCTAGGCCTGTACTTTGGCTTACTGGAGCAGACATGCTTCTAGTGGAGGTTAAAACCAGGGATTCCCCAGGCTATTTGTGCACATGTTCTTCAAAAAGAAGGATTTACCCCCTGAGCTGATACAAACCTAGGCTTATCCTAAAATTAAGAATCTATTCAAACTTGCAAACTCATGAGTCAAAACTCTGTTCTTATACATAGACTCAGATTACAAATAGATGCAGCTTACAAATGGACTTCACTGACTGAATTTCAGACCTGTACTTAGACATGATCTAGGCAGAAGTTTAAATGTTTGCTCATTTAAGCACATGCCTGAAGGCCATGTTGAATCAGAGCTGTGGGAGACCATCTTCTAGGAAAAAAAACCCCAGCTGTTTAACTCTTAAATGGTCCCGTAGTGTTGCTGTGTCCTGTTAAGCAGCTACTGCTCTTTACTTACTTGTGTGTGTCTTGGTGATGCCTGCAGTGGTGTATTGTACAGCTGCATACAGTATGCACATCTGCACACCAGTATATACACCCAAGTTCTGTGTGGTTTGGGGGGTACCCAATGCCCTATAGCTCTTCTGCCAGCTTGTGGTTGGGTCAAGGGTTTGCTTGTGCCATGGCCCTTCATCGTGTCATGGGTTATAAAGCCAAGGAAGAGTGAGTTTGGCGAGGATGGGAGCTGTATGGAAGCTGCGTGCGATGGCAGGGGCCGTCTGCTGCAAGCTGGGAATTGGGGAGGCAGGGTGGGAGCAGACAGGGGCTGAGGTGCAGCCTGACTTGTAAAAGGCAGCACTGGAAAGCAGGTTGGAGTTGCAGTGGGAGGCACGGAGACTCGGCCACACGCAGGACCTGTGTCACCGAGTAGGTGTGACACCATGCCTAGAGAGAGGGGCTCTCACCAACTGTCTCAGGGGTTTGTGGGGTCAGCTTGGACAAGGTGTTCCCTGCCTTGCTTCTCCCCTTTCTGCTTGTGCTTTCTCACTTGCGTTTCTCGGCAAGCACCATCCCCTCGAGTGTGTTTAGCACCTAGCATAAGGGCAGGTAGCTGGAATCCCCAGCTACTGAGGTTGGTATCAGTGCTTTACTGTCGTTGAGCCACATGAATGGTCCCACTCTGCCTCACAGCGGCAGGGTAAGTCCTTTGTGGGTGTCACTGCTCTTCCCCCACTTGTCATCACCCAAAAGGTGCAGGTGCTAGTGCAGGTGGCTAGGAGGCCAGCGGAGCTGCATCCTGAGGGTTCCTAAGTGTAGGGAGGGCCTCTGATGTGGTACCATTGTGGTCCCGCACTAATAGGCATTAGCAGTGGCAATGTGCTGGGGGAGAAACGCCGTGCTGGGCAGGACACTGCTGCACTCCCTGAGAGGCCTCAGTAGGTGTATAAAGGACTAGGGAGAGTGTCACTGGTCTGCCTGCTGCAGCTCTGCCTTCTGCTGGGAGAGTGTCACCAGGAACGTCCCGAGGGGCACCGCCAGCTTCTGTTCGCTCCCTCCCCTCACGTCTCTTCTTGTGCTGAGGCTGCCGGGCAGCCCTGGCCCAGCCTGCTGCCTCGAGCCAGCCGGCTGCTCTCCTCGCCTCCCAGCTCTGCTGTCACCTTCATGCATAAAACATCTCCCTGTTGACTGAGATCCCATCTCCTGGTGGCCTTGTCAAGGGAGCTGCAGGGGGACATAAAAAGTCCCTTGTAAATCTCTGGCCTCTCATCCCTGGAAACTTTACTGAGCCTCCAGAGAGGAGCTCTGCTGCTGTTCCTGTTCTTCCAAGGGATGACATGAAGCTGAGGCAGGACGGGAGATAACCCCAGAGGGTTACCTTTGGTCCCCCCCGCCCTGCCAGCATGGATGCTCTGAGGAAGGAAGGAAACAGGATCCCTGTGTCAGTCCCAAAGAGACCCACATGGGAACGGGGTGGCGGTGAATGTGGGGAGGAAGGGGAGAGAGCAGCTCATGGAGGGCCCTGTGTGTGTTCCTGACCCAGCTTCAGCTCTGAGTTTTTAATTTGCCCCTTACTTAAATTACAGTGACATTCAGCAACTGACTTTGAGGCACTGTGTGAACATATACGGTTGAGGAATGCCCAGCATCAGTGCAAACGGAGAGCCTGCTCTTTCATTGAGAGGAGAAAAAGGGTGGGAGTGCGAGTATCAGTTAGGATTGCATGGCATTTCTGTGGCAGAGGGAGGACTGTAACCCTGTACAGTTGGACAAATCACTGATTACCCTCAGCATTTGCCTGTGCTTGGGGAAGAGTTGCAGCCTCATTCAGAGACTTTGCTCATGGGATTGTCAGCGCTGTTTGCTGTCTCAGTACCTAGGTAAGTAAATTATGTTATACAGGTTTAAAAGAGGTTTTCAGAGATGGCTTGAATGAATGATGTTTCTGTGGGGGGCTGTACCCCATCTCATGGGGGTTGCTCTGCACTGGCAGCTCTAGGACAGGTGAGAAGCCTCTCTGCCACCCCATCTCATTGCTGTGGAGTTCAGATCATCCTGAGCCTGTCTGCAAGGCAGCCTGTGAAGGGGCTTTGGGTTGGGAAGCTGAACTGTGCCCTCAGGCATGGCTGGGCCCCCACGCCATGGTGCCCGTTTGAGAGCGATACCCTGGAGTGGGCAGCGGGCTCAGAAATAGCTCCATCATCCCAGTGAGTCTGGAGCTGATGCCAGCAAGACTGGAGTGTGGTGAGGAGCTCTGCCTGTCTGCCAGCCAGGCTGGGCTCAATGTGCTCACAGGGGGAGAAGAGAGCACGGCAGGCAATGTGTTTGAGGGACCAGGGGAGCTAAGGGGACAGGGGCTAGAGTTAGTGAGCAGCCAACGATGCTGAAGTGCTCTGCAGTTGTTCTGATGGGTCTGTTGGTTTTCCAATCCTTGTTTAAGCTTTCCGGGCACGTGATGACCTTGTGAGTATGTGACAAATTTGCAGCCAAATTGCTATATGTGATGGAGATGCTGAACTGGGAATTGGTGAGCTGGATTCTCTCTAGCTCTGGCAGGGAGGGACAGGAGTGTTGCCAGGTCAGAGCTGGGATCCAGCCAGTCCAGTATTCCTGATGATATTACTTTTTACCAAAGAGCTGCTGGTATTAGTGCTTCCTGGTCACGAGCTTTACTCGGCAGCTTCTCTGCTTAGTGGGGAGAGGAGACCTTGCAGGAGCAGCTCATCAAAAGGACATATATATGGAAAAAAAACCCAAAGCACCTCCTTTCTGAGAGGAGGTCCAGAGCATTGATGTTCCTGAGGCCTCGGAAGGGAACAGCACTTACAGCTGTCTTCAGGGAAAACTCCTATATGTTAATTTAAGTTTACTATAAAGCCTATGTCAGCTTCTCACAGTGGAAGCTGGAGGGGCAGAGGAGCAATTGCAGATCACCTTATCTGGGTCCCAAGGTCATCTCTGTGCATGCTGTTTTAAATACATTTATATATTTAGTAATTTTTGTACTCATGAATTGACTGCTTATGCTGGGCAAGGCAGCTGGTAATGAAATGGCAACAGAGGCTGAATTTCTGGAAGCACTGTCAGTGTCCCCTGAAGGCATCGGGAGCTTTTCCAGTTCCAGAGTTTGGGGCTGAGCTGTAGGGACCAGCAGTACTGCTTTCCTCCAGCGCTGATCCCTGTCCTGCTCCGAGTCCTCTCCAAAGCTGCAGAAACTGCTCAGTCTCAGGTTCAGCCCATAATGGGGTTCCTCCTAGCACACCTCTACCCACCTTGCCTCCCATACTCTGCTTCACTCTGCTCTTTCCCTGGCTGGTGAGGAGAGCGTATTTTCTCTGTCAGCAGCAGCAGCTTTGCCTTAACACCGTTGCAGTTCAGGAGAGAATAGAAAAATCCCAGCTCTTTCACTAGCTTTTTATGTAGTTCAGACATTCAGTCATTGGTGGTTGCAAAGTAGCTTGAGCTAATTCAGCCTCAAGGAAGAGCAAAGCCCTGCCACCCTAGAGTCCTCAGACAGATTGTCCTTCCCCCTCCATAGGCATTAACTCCCTCCTTGCCTTGGCTTGTCTTCCAGGTACTGAAAGGCTGCAAGAAGCTGAACCTGTCTGTACATTCGGTGGGACGCATCCCCGGGGGCTATGTCACCAACCACATCTACACCTGGGTGGACCCGCAGGGCCGGAGCGTGTCCCCGCCGACCACGGGCCTGCCACACCACCAGAACAGCTCCCTCCGCAAGGACAGCGAGAAGAGGAGCCACCTCCAGCTCCTGCAAGAGGGAGACGAGAAGAAGGTGAGCAAGGGGGGATCAGCCACAGCCCTGGGGCCTGTCTGCGGTTACCTGCTACCATGTAGGTGCCAACCCTCTTCGTTCCCCTTACGCTTTTCATTCATGTGATTCTGGCCTCTAATGGGATAGCCTGTCTCTCCTTCAGGGTACACTGGATCCTCGTTTTCTCCCTTGGTCTGTACCTTACCCTGTCTCCTCCAATGAGCCCTGTAGATCAGGATGGAATGCCTTTATTCCCATTTGACACAAGTAGAACCTGAGCTGAGGACAAGGCATTATCCAGATGCAGAATTGTCTGGCAGTAAGGGTCCTGTCAGGAGCAGCAAACCAGAATTTGCTTTTCAGGCTTTTGCTGAACAGGTTGTTGGTTTGGCTGGAGGCCTGCTGCCAACGTGCTCATTGAGAGGCTGACATAGATCTTATGTTCAGGAGGGCTCGTGGATTTGGAGGTCTAGATCTCAGAGTGCATTGCTGCTTTTCTTCCTGTGTTTCAGATCTTCCCTCAAGTGTTTCCATGAGGGTTTATTGGGTCTCTTAGCAGTTTTGTCTAAGTAAAAAAAAAAAAAAAAATTCTCACCCAAAAAAACTATAAAATAAACCAGGTGATTTTCCTTTTCCATTTGGGGAGGGACAGGCTGAGCCAGGAAGGCCATGAGTAGTGCCTGTGTAAAAAGCCCTAGCAAGTGGAAAAGGAGCGGGGAAGGGAATGGCTTTCATAAAGGTACCCAGGGGATCTGGTGTCTGGCCAGTGCTGGCCATTCCAACAGGGTCTGGATCTTGGGCCTTTGACAGAAAGGAAAGTATATCAGCACATCTAATTCCCAGTCCCCTTCTCTTACTGTGAGCCTGGCCTCCTTTGAAATAGGCCTTACTGCAAGTGAAGCCAGCAGAGGATATGTGCAAGCTGCAATGTCTGATCTCGGAGATTTAGTGTTTCTTCTCCCTCGTGCTTCCCATGCGCAAACAGAACTAGAGACCTGTAGATGCAGAGAAGCAGTGCTCAGGTGCCCTTGCACTGAGGCATAGGCTGGAGGGGCAGACTCTGCTCGCTTTCTGGGTGGTGATGGATAGGGAACCTGTTTGTCCTGTACAAGCAGGACATGGTGTTGCCTCACTGGCATTCATGGGATATCAAAGTACTGTCATATGAGTGAGCAGGGCACTTGCTTTGCAAAGGCAGAGTTGCTTGAGCCTTGACATAGTTCCATCCTGTTATCCTAAGATCACTCTGGCTCTCCCCAGCACTTTGATTCTATGTCCAAAATGTCCTCAGCTCCACCTGGAAATGCTGTGGAGGGATCTGTAAGCTGGAGCCACCCATCTCAGCCAGAACAGGAAAAAAAAAAATCTAATACAGGTTGAGGCAGTTTGCTGATGAAATACTGATGTAGACCACAAGGGAGAAGGGCCCGTTATTTTTATTTTAAGAAAAAAGAGAAAAGCAGCTGCTGCTGGCTTGCTGGTGTCCCCCACCCCCTTCCACTCAGTGTCACCTTGATACAGAAGGCAGCGACTCTTTGAAGCTGTAGGTAGGAAGTGTTTCTCTGCACATTGTTCCTTTAGTCCTTGCTGTGTATCGACATGAAATGCTTTGAAGCCTGCAGCCATACACATCCCTGCCCGGTGCGTGGGCCTGGCGTGGCCCCGGACAGCCCCTTCCCTTCAGTCCTGATGGAGATGTGATTACAGATCCTGAGCTGTCTGGGCAGCTTGGCTGCTGCCTGGGCCGGTCATCAGGCCAAAGCACCCTCCTCTGTGCTGCTCCCGTCCGGGCTGACTCCCAGGGGGTGCACAGGAAAATGAATCCAACAGAACTTTGCAAGTTAAAAGAGCTTTAATTACCATAGCTTATTCTGCTTTGGAATGGAATGAAGCTGAGTTGAATGAAGGCCACGTTACACTTCGAAGAACATCCGTGCTGGGCTTGGCTGCTGTTGGATACACTCACTCCCGAGGTGGGAGGGGGTCCCAGCTCCAAGTCACCCACTGTGGCACCGTTCTAGCTGAGCCAGGCTGCGGGACCTTGGCTCACAGGTGGCTGCCCTTGCTCTGAGCTGTGCTTCTCTGGTGCCATTGCTGTGATGCTTCTTTGCGGCAGCACTGCACTTGCAGAGCACTGGGAAAATCTGCCAGCCTTGGGTGGGATGCTGGGTCTTCATGGTGCTACCAGCTCGTGGCTTGCTGGCTTCAGAACCTTTGCCCCAGGTATAAGGTGTGGTGAAGAGCCTTGTGCTCCACCTGGCTCTTTCAAAATCTGAGCTTGTCCTTCCATTCCTCGGTGCTGCTCCACACAGTCAGGCAGCCCTTTGACTTCTTGTAGTGGAGGATTGTGCTTTGACCCCAGGGCAGGCAGGTGAGGGCCCCTCTGTTAGCCTGGGAAGAGTCAATGACAATTGCAGGAAATATTTGAAGCTTGCAGAAGTGAGTGTGCAAAGATCTGATGCAGAGTGCAGTGCTGGCCTCATGAGAACAGGCAGGATTCAACCTTCCCTGGCACTACTCCTCCGTGGCACATCAGCAGTGGCATCGGTCACTCTGCTGTTCCCATCCTGCCCCCCTGTGCCACTCTGGCCGTGTACTGCACTTCTAAAAAGCTATCAACCTTGTTCTAAGTTTCAGTCCGGGGATCCCCACGCTGCTGCTAGCCCTTGGCTCTCTTGGCCACTCCAGACTTGATTTCTTGTGTCAGGCTCCAGTGTGCCTCCAGCTCTCGGCACTGGCTGGAGGCCTTCTCCTTCCTCTGTCCTTGCTGACCACAAGCACGATGCACCTTTCCCCCTAGCCTGCTGTTCAGGAGTGCTTTCAGGGGTAGCTGTTAGCACTGGTGGGACCCAGGGTTGCTCCTAACAGCACCTTGACCCCTCCACTCCTTGCACTGCCTTGAGCCTGCCTTCAGACCCAGCTCCTCCTCACAGTCCTCTTCACTGGTGTCAATGTGCAAGGCTTGGTATGCGTGTTGCAATAACCTCCACTCCTGAATTCCCATTTTCAAGACTGGCAAAATAAAATTACTAGATGCTACAACTCGAAAGACCAAGGCCACCCAGACACTTCTGTATCCAGAGGTGCCTTGCTTTGACAGCTGATGGTGTAAGAAAGCCCCACCATGATCAAAGCCTGGCTGGCAGTGAGGAGGGCCTGACTTGGCTGCTGGATTTGAGGGGTTATTTGGTGTGACTGCCTGTGTCATTTGTCTGAACACATGCTTCAGGGCATGAATTAGCTGGGCTGCTTCGTCCTGACTTACTGTGGACCATCGAAGTGTTGAAAACATGTCCCAGAGCATGGGAACAGCCTGTCTCTATTTTTTTATCTTTTTATTTCTATGTGTAGAGATATAGATAGATATTTAACTGTTGAAAGGTGGGTTATTCTCTTCACAAATATCATGCAAATAAATGCAACATACCCTGGTTAATTCAGCTCAGTGAATCAGAATTGACAGGTATCCCCCGTGGGCTATTTCATTTCTGTATGGTTTTACATTTTGAGGAGAGGGCTGGGGATTAGTTGGTTAGCGTGTGTCATCTCCCCCACCCCCACCCCCCCCCCCAGCCTTTCTCTCTCTTTCCTATTTCTAATCGATCTGAATGTCCTGGAATACATATGCAAAAGCTTTCAAACAGGCACCGTTTGGGAAAGTACAGCAGAGATCAGACTTCAGCCCTACAGCAGGAGGCTAAAGCGATGTACACCAGCAAGTTTGTTAATGCATTGCTACAGTTCAGTAAGCCTGCAACGCTACTGTAGTTAAGGTGGTATTTCCAGCTTTTGCAAGGTTAAATTCAAGGTTGGTGGAGGCATCCTACATTCATCAGGCAACAGAGATATCCCTGTCTGGCTACCTTTCCCTCCAGCGCATCTGTTCTGTATGCCTGAAAGGATGGGGATTGTAGCATAGTTTAACAAGTTTGCTTATCTGTAGGCAGAAGCATTCATTATCAAAAGGCTTGAAATGGAAACCGCTGCTGTTGGCGTGTGTGTGATAGTGTAACCGATCCGTCTGGCGGAGGGGGGATCTGGCGCGTGGCTGCGTACCTTCCCGGGGCGCTGGGACGGGGGTGTGGAGCAGATGGGCTGGTGTGCGGCCGGGCTTTCAGCTCATGGGCCAGCCTGACCTCCTGGGGTAGCTTTGCTGCAGTGGGGATTCAGTGCAGAAGGCAGCCAGTGCTGCTGGCCCAGAGCTGGCACGTTCCTTGCCTGTGGCTTTACGTTGCATTTTTGTGTGGACACTGGGATTCCTTCACTGTCAGCTGTGGAAGAAGCCATTATGGGGATTTGGGAAGTTACTGGTGGGCTGTCAGCTGTCCACTGGCTTTGCTTTCACCATCCTGTTCCAGTCAGTGGTACTGGGCCAAAATCCAGCTTGCAACAAGCTTGGGTCAGAGGCTATTCTGTGTAGATGAGCAGGAGGTGAATACTAAGATCTGGGCCAACTATTCAGTGTAGACCTGACCTGACATGAATGATATCTCAAGAGAAGGCACAAAAAGGGATGCGAGAATTAAAAGGAATGGAGGGATGAAGAGGGTGCTGGCACGTATGCCCTTGTATAAGTTGTTGCAAATCTTTATGCTTTCCATGTCTGTGTTGTCTGTGGCAGGTTGGAGAGATGGCCGTACTTCCCAAGTTTTGCTATTATTGGGCAGCCTTCCCTGTAGTCATAACCAGTGGATCCAGTGTTTCATCAGAGCCCTGTACCCATCCTCCCCGTAGGTGAAGTAGCCAGTGATGGTGGTCAGTAATAAGCGTGGAACGAAGGGCTCGCGCCAGTGCAAAGCTCTGGCGAAACATTTGTTGGAGCCACCTGTGTCCAGGACAGACACAGCAGCAGGTCACGGTCCCTCAGCACCATCCCAACAGAGGATGTAGCCTACATGCTGGAAAGATGGGATCTGCTTCCAGTGCTCACCTTGTGCTTTAGAACCATTTGATTTCTACGATCTGTCCAGGCTTAAGTCCTCTGGATTTTTCACAACAGCAAGGACCATTTGTACTTTGAG